ATTTTTATTTAATTTTATTTACATATCGTGAGTATAAAATCAAACTAATTAAATTGTCTAGTAACTCGGATGGGATCGTAGACAATCGTTTCATCTTTTGTTGCACATAATTGTTATATTTAATAATGTAATGTTTAATTTAATAATTTCAAAAAATCTACTGGATGAAAGTTATCTTTTGAATTCCTGTAATATTGCCATTTTTTGCAGTTCAACTTTTCTATTGGAATGTCAACTGATTTGACATTCTATGAAAACAATCAAATCCCTTCTGATTTTTCAAGAATTTCCAGCTGTGTAAAAACTGTCAATTTATAAGCTCTAAGGAGTCATTTAGATTTTTTTTAAAAAAAATACTTAAGGCCAGTTTTGAATCTAATATAATAGCTTGAGTTGTACTTTTTCCTGTTTTAATTTTAAAAATCACTCTAAAACAACAGCTCTATTAGACAACCACATACAATAATATCTGGTCATTTCAAGAAGCTGTGAGGGGTTATTATGACTATCCCCTTAGCTGATGAATTGGTTTTCCTTGAATTGGATGGAATTCCCGGTTTGATAACTGCAATTAAATAGATGATCTCTTTTAAAATTTGACTGGATCTCTCTCTTTAATCCAAAATTACATTTTTGAGGAACTGCATGCCACTCAGAGTTAGCTGATTGAAGTGGCTTCTAAGATCTGTATATAAATTAATATAAATATTATACAAGGTTCCCGACACAAATGGGGCCTTACATAGCTGCCCCCAAAATCCTTCCCAGCACGGCTCTCAGATTTTCCCACCTAATGCTGTTCCATACCTTGGCCATGAGAACAGGGAGCGAAGACAATTCCTACAAACACCGCCAAGTAGAAAAACAAGTTCATTCTTGGGTTTTTTTTCAGCCTGGAAGCCTTGTGTCACGATGTGTTCTTTGCCTGGGCACCTTTGTTGCTACTATTTTAGAAGGAAGGGATGGATTATTTTCCTTGCAACCTGGAGTATGGACTTGGAACCGGAGGGCACTTGATAATGACTCCTCATTAACGCTTTATGAAAGTGATACCAAGCTGCTGTGCTTTGATATGAGGAAAATGTATAACCAGTTAGATCAATGGAAAGGTGTGCGACACCCTGGGGACACAGCAGAACAACTGGAGTGGCTGAATCATCAGGGGCCAAATGAGAAAAAGCAACGGGGGTGTCAGAGATAAAAAATATGCTGATTGAGCCATCAAGGGTAATTTTTTATTGAGAGGAAGGGAGGGAGGGAGGGAGGGAGGGGAGGGACAGACAATGGAGGGCGTTAGAGATAAAAAAATATGCTGATTGAGCCATCAAGAATAATTTTTATTGTAAAGGAAGGGAGGGAGGAGGGTGGAGAGAAAGAGAGGAGGGACAAACAACAGGAGTGTCAGAGATAAAAAAATATGCTAATTGAGCCATCCAGGGTAATTTTTTTATTGGGAGAAAGTGAAGAAGGAAGGAAGGAAGGAAGGAAGGAAGGAAGGAAGGAAGGAAGGAAGGACAATCAATGGGGATGTAAGAAATAAAAATATGCTGATTGAGCCATCAAGGGAAAAAATATTGTAAAGGAAGGAAGGAAAGAAGGACGGGAGGGAGGAAGGGACAGGGTAGTAAGGCTCCCCATGCAAAACGAAATCACATCTTTCTTGAGTATATGCAGAGGGCAATTCATTAATATCAAGAGGAGTAATAACAAAATTCTTAGAACTTATATAAGCATGTCAAAGGGTAAATCAAAGAAGAATATAATTTTATTAGAGGGAAAGAAGCTGAAATTTCTTTTCTTAATGGTGTGCAGGCTAGTAGCCTTTCCATGGGCACCCAAAATCTGGGCAGGACCAAACCCTGTCATGCTGGTGTGTGTGTGTGTATGAGTGTGTAGAGTTTAACAATTCCAAATTGTAGCCTGAGAGGACTGAGAAAGAATCCGCCTTTAAAATGTAACAAGCAATTAATCAAATTTTGCTTTCCTGTATCTATTCACATGTGGTGTGTTTCATGTATATGGCTGCTAGCATAACCTATGGAAAATGCTGCACAACCATCGCTCCATATTTTCCCACATGACAGACTATAGAGGACATTGAAAAAATACTGGGGCTGGGGAATCATGAAATTAAAAAAAATCCTCTGGGAACATTGTTGAAATGAGATGGGAGGGAGACACACAGGACATGGGTTCCATCTAAAAGAACCCTGAGTTTGTATGCACAGCCTTATTCTCCTAGGCAGGATAATCCAAAGCAAGCAGCTTTCTAGGAAGGAAGTAAAGAGGCAATAGAACCAGTTTTCAGAACATGTGTATTATCTTGGAAAGAGATGAAAAAAAATAAGCTTACCACATATCTGTCTGCTCTGTTTGCTGTTCCTTCCATCCATCCATCCATCCATCCATCCATCCATCCATCCATCCATCCAATACGATGCCTTGATGATCCAGAAGTAGGGTCATCCATTGGAACTGGTTTTTGGTTTTAGAATAGAATAACAGAGTTGGAAGGGACCTTGGAGGTCTTCTAGTCCAACCTCCTTCTTAGGCAGGAAACCCTACACCACTTCAGACAAACGGTTATCCAACATTTTCTTAAAAACTTCCAGATTTGGAGCATTTACAACCTCTGGAGGCAAGTTGATTAATTGTTCTGTCAGGAAATTTCTCCTTAGTTGTAGGTTGCTTCTCTCCTTGATTAGTTTCCACCCATTGCTTCTTGTCCTGCCCTCAGGTGCTTTGGAGAACAGCTTGACTCCCTCTTCTTTGTAGCAGCCCCTGAGATATTGGAACACTGCTATCATGTCTCCCCTAGTCCTTCTTTTCATTAAACAAGACAGTTCCCGTAACCGTTCTTCATGTTTTAGCCTCCAGTCCCTTAATCCCTCAGTTTTGGCAAACTGAGAACCAGTTTGGTGTAGTTCTTTAAAATCCAACATATTTATGCTATTCCAAGCAACATGAGACAGATTACCTAAACCATATCCTAAACCAGTGTTTCTCAGTCTCAGTCATTTTAAGATGTATGGATTTCAATTCCCAGAATTCCCCAGCTAGCAAGGTTGCCCATCGCAGATGGTTTTATTTGAGCAATGGCAAACTGAAAGCTAGTTTGATGGAGTGGTTAAAGCATCAGACTAGAACCTGGGAGACGGTGAGTTCTAGTCCCACCTTAGGATCAAAGCAACTGTGTGATCTTGGGCCAATCGCTTTCTCTCAGCCCAAGGAAGGAAGCAATAGCAAAGCACTTCTGAAAAACCTTGCCAAGAAAGCTTTCCCCACCATTTTCCTATTTACTTTTGTATTTTGTATTTTGTATCTTATTTTATCTTATAACCCAATTAAAATAAATAAATAAATAAATAAATAAATAAAAGAAATGTTAAACCAGTTATAAACTGTCCAGAGTTTTGGTTTTAAGATGAGTGGCCATGCATATTTTAGCTATATTAGGTTCTTTTTACATTTAAAAGAACCTGGAGAACAAAGAGAATTGAAAAAAAATTCTCTTATAAAACTGAACTTGAAAAAAAGACATTCACAGTGAAAGAAACAAAAGAATGCAAAAACCCAGTTCCTCGTTTCAGTGAAATCTGGTAGCTGCAGGAAAATGTGACAAAATTATAATTTGCATGAAATGCTTGTAGTTCTGAAATGCTGAAAGATAGCAAGGAACTCCAATGAATGCAGAAGATGAACAGGAGAAAAATCCTTCATTTTTCCTTCATTTGGCATCCTTCTTCCCCAGAGGATCAACCAGAGAGAATGCAGTGATTGACAAGTGAATTTGCTACAGTTGTATTTGACCTGTGATGTTTTCAACTCTAGAAGAGACAAGGAAGGAAGTTTCTAATCTAATGGAGAAACTAAGCTAATGGGGTCAAAAGACAGACCAAATGAGTTTGGCAGTTCTTGGTTCTTTAAAATCCAACAGTTGAGCATTTATGATGCTATTTCAAGCAACATGGGACAGATTACAGTATATCCTAAACCATGTTGTTTAACCCCAGGCAACTTTAAGATGTGTGGACTTCAACACCCAGAATTCCCATTAATCTTGCTTGGGAAACTTCCTAAACTACTCTATTTTGGCTCCTGCCCAACATTTTAGACCCCACCCCTCAAACTTCCAGTGTTTCATTCCAACTTCCCCTTTATCTCTCAAGTTCCACCCCTTAGACCTCTCAGTCTGTTCCAGCCCCACCTTCTCAGTCCCAAACAAAAACAGCAATTTTCTTTAGAACTGTCCATAATTCTATTTTTAGTTTCTTTCCTCAGATACCCTCCTGCTGATGGGGAAGCAAATCCAATTTCCTATCTTTCTCGCCTGTTAGAAAAACAAAATGCAGCAGTCAGGAGCCTTACGTAAATCCAAGAACAGATCAAAGAGTGCAGTTAATTAATTACTTGCATGTAGGCAGGGGTAGGCGTAGTCAGTGACACACTGACATCATTAGATTGGAAAAGAATGAGGGTTTTTTGTGCATTTAGGGTCTTAATTTTGCCACAGTTTTCTGAGAAAATATAAATAAACAGAGCCAGTTTAGTGTAATGGTTAAAGCACCAAGCTAGAATCCAAGAGACTGTAAGTTCTAGTCCTGCCTTAGGAGGTGACAATTGGGCCAGTTTCTCTCTCTCTCTCTCTCAGCCCAACCGACCACACAGAGTTGTTGTTGTTGTTGTTGTGGGGAAAATAGGAGGAAGAAGCATTATGTGTGTTTCATGCCTTGAGTTATTCATAAAAGTAGTAGATGTGGGTGGGATATATAAATCTAGTCCCTCAATACAGATACAGGGACAATCATATGAAGTTTTAAAAAATCAGCAGTTTTGTCACCCAATCTCAGTAGCACAAGTTCAGACTGTTCAGGGCACCATCAATATGGGAATTGGGTTGTGGCAGGGGCATTAAAAGTCAAGATGATGGCTTTGATCATATGGTTGAAGCAGCCATCTTCAATTTCTGTCTCTCTCTCACGCACACACAGACATTTAGACACATTGTTTTGTCTTATTTTATTTTCCCCCCTGTGCTCTTCCCTTACTTCAACATTATCTGGCTGTGATGGCATTGAGCTGCGTCTCACTTTGTTACAAGTGGTCCATGAATCCCTGCATATCTGCACAGTAAGCAAACAGAGGAGTTTGATGCATTTATCAACTAAATTATAGGCTACAAAACAACTGTGGATGGCTTTCCAAATTTAAAACAATAAATACAAAACAACTCTAAAAGAAAAAAAATCTATTCAAGGAGCAAAATCACCCTTCCAAATTCCCCAAATCTTCTATAGTCCATCTGTCCCACTCAAGCCCAGTGGGAAAGTCATTTAGCTTATCTCCTTCTTTGAAGTGTTTTATCAGCTCACATGTCAGGGAGCTAAAGGCCATATTTTCCATGCCCGGCTAACAGATGAAATCCACTGTGTTCCCATTAGTTTAACTGAAAGCACTGGGTTTCTTCTGCCAATCCAATCTTGACTATATGCAGCAAAATGCACGTTGCCAAAGGTTAGGCAGTCTGAGTGTCAAATTAAGCAGTAAAACCAGTAAAACCAGTGAAATTCAGCTCAAGAATTAGGTGCCTCTGTGTGTGTGTGTGTGTGTGGAATTAGCCCATTTAAAGAACATAGGATTTTTATCTTTGCTTAGTAAAAATAAATTCAAAGCCCATGATAAATTAATGAACGGCTCCAAATTAATGTCTGAAGAAATAAATCCGATGCAGGAAAACCCATTCCCAGCTTGTAATTGTAAATGGAATTTCCATCCCTGCAGGAACTGAGTTTAAGAAAAATAGTTCAGGCATGCATCTTAATTCCCTGAAGTTTTGCCCAACACCCAAGTAGATCTCAGGAGAAAATATTTTATCTTTTGCAGTGGAACAGAAAAGCCTTGTTCTAAATTTGAAAGTTCGATTTCTAACCTAGTGTCTTATTCTTTGTGATAGGGATAAATCCAGTAAGCATTACTGCAATGCACTCTACATGGGGCTACCCTTGAAGAGCATTTGGAAGCTTCAGCTGGTGCAGAACAAAGCAGTAGAGATAGTAAAGGGTGATGCTTGTTTGGCACATGTAACACCACTCTTGGTGAGCTGCATTAGTCTCCAATGTGTTTCTGGGTGTAATTCGAGGTGCTGGTTGTCAGCTTTAAAGCCCTTCATAGTTTGGGACTATGTTACTTGAGGGACAATCTCTCCCTGGTTGTTTTTACCTGTTTATTTCCGCAATCACTGGATCACCAGAACTAATCAGTGGACCTAAGGAGAAAGTTCCTGGTGAAACAATTAGTCAATGGAACAGCTTGCCTGTTGTTGGTGCTCCATCGCTGGTGGTTTTCAAGAAAAGATTTGACAACCATTCGTCCAGCATGGATTAAGGACTCTGCCTAGGACAGGGGGTTGGACTAGAAGACCTCCAATGTCGTTTCCAACCCTATGATTCTATGATTCACCTGAGACAGAAGTGGGCTTCATTTGTCTTGGTGCTTTACAAGTTGTAAGCTCATATGGTGAGGAAGAGCTCTTTTAAGGGGAGCTAATAAAAATGGCAACTAGTTTTCATCAGAAAAGGGTGTTTTTTTTCCTGCAAAGCATTTCCATTATCAACATAATTCAAAGTCCTTAATAGCAATTGTGGTTTCCCCCTTCCACCAAGTAGAGCAAAAGAAAAAAAATAAATTAATGACGGAGACATGAAGGTTTCGTCCACATGGTCTCCTTCCAGCACTCTTATGGAAACCACAGACAACAAAGGACACTGAAATGGCCAATAAAAGTGTGGGTGGCCAATTGAGAGAAGTCCCGCTTCTTCAGCTGAAGGCCTTCAGCTTGCTCAGACTGTCAGCATACTGGAAGTCAGTGCTGTTCTCATAATTGTACATGTCCAGCGCCACCTCACAGCTCTCCCGGACTACCTGCTCTTCATCCTTGGCAAACGCCTCCAGGGTGGTCAGGCAGGACTCCTTAGCAATGGAGCCCAAAGCCTCGGCGCACTCGTGGCGCACCATGGGATTCTCTGCCACGTTCTCCAAGGACGCCGTCAGCTGTGGAATGCTGGCTTCCTGCTGCATCTGGCCCAGCACATAGGCAATCTCATGGCGGAAGAGGGCACTGCCACACTGGAGGCCTGGGGAAAGAGAGAAGTCACCTGGACTAAGAGGGAAGAAGAGAACCTGCTTGGTAGTGTTAAGTGTGGTGGAATCTGACATTGGAATGCAGGAGGGAGGGGCTGTTTCCAAGGGAGCTAAGAGGCAGATCAGCATGGAGGGCCATTTGATGGTTATGCAGCCTGTGCTTGAGCCTGGCAAGATTAAAGTCAGGTCCAAGGAACCAAGAAGGCTTAATTGCTGAGAGAAGTTTCTTTATTGCTTTATTATTTTTAATGTTATTTTAATTATTTGCAGCCTTTCGTTGAGTGACTGCTTGAAGTTGCAACAGCACTGGAAAAAGCGATTTATGACCGTTTTCCACATGGAGGCCCATTGCAGCATCCCCAGGGTCACATGATCAAAATTTGTTCATCAGTTGCTTGGCAACTGGATCATATTTATAACGGTTACAGTCTCCCGGGGTCACGTGATCTCTTTTTGTGACAAGCAAAGTCAATGGGGAAGCCAGATTCACTTCACAATCGTGTTACTAACTTAACAACGGCAGTGATTCGCTTAACAACTGTGGGAAGAAAGGTCGTAAAATGGGGCAAAACTGAACAACTGTATCGCTTAGCAACAGATATTTTAGACTCCATTGTGGTTGTAAGTCAAGGACTACCTGTATCAGGTATATACTGTGAAAGTTTTAGGCATGATCCCTTCTGGGCCTCTTTCGGCAAACCAAGGACCCAATGCTGAGCTGCCTCTTAGCTCTCTCCTGCATTCCAGCATCGATATCTCAGGATTGGCTGTTCTGATAGCAGCGACTCAGGGATACAGGAAAAGAAAAGTGTTCAAGTGTTTATTTTGAGGCAGGCCCCTGGGTGCAGTGATTTGGGAAATTGGGAAATGTTCTTCCCTTGAAGGAGGAGGTGCTTCCTCCCTCAGAAATCAAATCCACCTCTCTAACTGGGCAGAAGAAGGATCCCCACAGCTTCCATTTCAATACCTGGGGTTGGATCCTCTTCAGTGGAGATACCAAAGACTAAACCCAGGGCCCACTAAATCTAAACATGCTCTGCCAACTAACGATGGTACACTGTTGGTTTTTAATTCCAAAGGTCACACAGGAATAAATATATATCTGAGGAGGAGGCAACTCCTACACATACAACTCTCTTTAGCTATTTCCTAACTCTTCCATAGAAGGGTGATGGGCCAATTACACTGAACTTGAAGACCCATGTCTGAGCCATGAACGGTGTACTGCGAAAGGCTTGGAGTTTGACCAGGTTCAGTCACTGAATCATAGTCTTTTTCCAAGAACCAGAAAGGGTTGGAGGGAGCCAAGTCTGCTGAGTGGGAATACCCCCATGGACTGGAGATAGGGTCAAGATGGATTTTTGAGGCTATTGGACGGAAGTGAGATTCCAAATAAAGAACAAGATGTACACTTCCAAATAGCTAAGCCTCTGTGTGTTTACTTGGAATTAGGACCTATTGAGATCTTACTCCAGATAACAGCAGGAAAGATCACCAGTCTGCCTAAGGTATTTGTTACATAGAACAAACAGAGCTTCTACAGAAGTTGTACCCTGCCACAAAAAGTTAAGAAGAAAAATTCATTTGAGCAGACAAGTATCAGTCTGCACAGCAAATGTGCTTTAAGGGAGGCTGTATTTAGCTGCAAAAATTCCTGAAACTTGTCATAATTTGCAAATTACATTACCACTATACATCAAACTATAATGAATTTTTAGTAGCATGAATTTCTCATTCATTATTTATATTTCAAATAAAGTGGGTGACGGGAAGAGAATAAAAATGGGTTGCCTGCTGTTAGCACAGCCTTATGCCAGAGTTCTCCACCGTTTCCAGCTTTGCGGTCGGGGGGTGGGTGGGTGATGGTTCGCGCAAGCGGCTGGCTGTGCAGCTCCATTTCCACTGCAACGTGCTTGCGCACCTGCCACTCATACAATAGGAGCGTGCACACATGTGCCAGCTGCTCACGCAAGTGAGGATGTCCATTTCCACAGCCTACTTGCAAACCCCTCACAGCCCACTAGTGGGCTGCAGCCCACAGATTGGGGACCCTGCCTTAGGCCCTTTCCCCTCTTACGATTTAAAGTGTTTTCCTAACATCACCCAGCCATCCTTGGAAAGATACAAAGGCCATTCTCAATACTGTTATTTTGATACTATATTGCGTCATTGAATCTAGAAGTTGATCTTAAGCACTAGTGAAGAAATGCCCCAAGAAAGTGGTTTTTAAATTTTTCCTTCTTTAGCCAAAACCACTTACCAGACAGTCCTTTTTACCCAACACATTTAAAAACACTTTTTTAAGGCAATGGTTCTCAATCTGTGATCCGCAGGACCCTGGGGGCCACCATGTTGTCACACAGGGTCCACGACAGTTTGACAAAATGTTATGATTTAAATCTTGAATTAAGTTTTGGTAGTGTGTGGCCATGGTCTATGGCCACAAAAGATACTTAAAGGGGGTCTATGGTGAAGAAAAGGTTGAGAACCACCACTTTAAAGAAATTTAAATATTCCTGTTGTGATTGGGTAGTTGGTTCATGTGTCATCACCCAAAGAAAAAGTCACTTTTACCCAATTTTAGGTAATTTACCCAGGTTTGGGATGCACTGCCCTAAGAGCAGCGCATTAGATACATAAAGAATCTCCAACTAAAGTAACAATTTCAGAAATGGCCAAGTGTAAGTGGGTGTATTCAGCATTTGATTCATTTATGATGCATTCCAGAAAATGGATTCTATGCTCCACCCCTTCAAAGAAAATCACAGCTCAGGAAAATATTCTGCCTCAGATTCTTGAGCCAGGCTTAGAAAGTCAGCTGCTTACCATCAGCAAGTGCCAGAACAGCAGCTTCTCCTCCAATGTTCCGTAACGCAAACATAGCTTGATAGCGCTCAAAGAGTGATCGTGACTCATCCAGCAGGGTAAGCCTCAGCTTCCCCACATCCTTCTCCTCAGCAGGAGGTGCTGGATCCACAGAGGAGTAAGGGTTGACGGCAGAGTTTGCCTTGTGCTCCTGAAACCATTCCAGCCTCTTCACAGCCAGCTGACATGTCTCCGCTACCTACACAGGAGAGCAAACGGACATGCGAAGATAGTTTTTGCCAGGGTTCAGAAGTCTTCATGGAAAGACAAGGGCTAGGGTGCTAATGGTAGCGTTGCAAGCTGGTGGTCAATGCTTTCAAATTAATGAAAAAGATCTCCAGTGGGAGGTAATGGCTTTACAACTTTCCCCTAAATGTAGGATTAAAAAGTATTAATAAATAATAGATCTAAAATTAAACAGGAGGATATTCCAAAATAATTTATGTTTTTTAAAAGGCAGAACTCTCTTTCTCATTCTTCTAACAGGTTTAAGAATACCATGAATAGCCAAAGGCAGGGAAAAGGGAGGATCATAGAAACAAATAAATCCAGAGTTCTTACTCAAGGCTCAAATATTCAGATTCAAATTATGAAGACTCGGGTCCTTTGAGATGTCTATATTTCTGGGAAATGTGGAAGAAAAAGAGAAAAAGAGGACAACCAGCAGCAAGGTGGATGGACTCAAGTTCCAATGATGGATAGGTTGGAAAATCTGAAGGACCAGGTTGAAAATCTGAAGGACACATAATCCTGGAGATGATCCAAAGGTGCTTTTTCAAGAGGCAACTGGAGTTTCTGGTTTTTCTTTGAAGAAATTTAATTTCTCATCCAAGAAGTTTCTTCAGCTCCAACTCCAGCTTCTTGGATGAGAAGCAAAACATCTTGAAAGAAAAACCAAAAAGTCCAGTTGCCTCTTAAAAAGAAACACTTTTGGGACAACCATGACTTGGATGACTGATAATCTCCACAGACAATCCTGGACAAGGTGGTTATTATGAGTCAACACCAACATAATAAATTAAAAACAATTGTTTCAAAACGTTTTATTATTCTGTTTTGGAACCATGTATCACATTTTTCAATTCAGCAATTTTGAAGGAGTTATTGGGGTGACGCAATGGCTCAGCGGTTAAAGATATTGGGCTTGTTGGCTGGAAAGCCAACAGCCCAAGTTCAAGACTCGAGAGTTTGTACAACGGGCTGAGCAATTGTCCTCGCCCTAGCTTCTGCCAACCTAACAAATGTAAAGTATGCAAATGCAAGTAGATAAATAGGTATCGGTTCAGTGGGAAAATAATAGCACCCTGTGATGTCATGCTGGCTACATGACTACGGAAATATCTTTGAACAGCGCTGGCTCAATGGCCCTTGAAATGGAGATGAACACTGCCCCTTATAGTCAGCAATGACTAATGGAGTAAAATGTACAGGGACTTTTATTAATTTATTTATTAATGGAACTTGTATGCCGCCCTATCTCCAATGGACTCAGGGCGGCTCACAACAATTGAAACAAAGCAAACAAACCATTAAAACAAAAATCCAGGTTAAAATTCACAAAAATTCAATAAAAACCAGTTAAAATTCTATTAAAACCCCCATCAGTCCAAGGCGGCCAGGTGCAATAGCCACGTTTTCAGGCCACGGCGGAAAGAGCAAAGGTGGGGGGCCACCCTGAGCTCCAGAGGGAGTTGATTCCAAAGGGTGGGTGCGCCCACAGAGAAAGCTCTCTCCCTAGGGGTAGATAGCTGACACTGTCTGGCCAACGGCACCCTGAGTAGGCCCTCCCTGTGGGAACGCACAGCTGTTGCTGGCTGCAGATGGTCCGCCAAATATCCCAGGCCTAAGCCATGTAGGGCTTTATAGGTAATCACCAGCACCTTGAATCTCACCCGGAGGACAACCGGCAACCAATGCAAGTCATGCAGGAGAGGTGTAACGTGGGAGTGTCGGGACACTCCCACCACAACTCGCGCGGCCGCATTCTGCACCAGCTGAAGCCTCCGAGTGGTCTTCAAGGGCAGCCCCACGTAGAGAGCATTGCAGTAATCAATACGGGAGATGACCAGCGCATGAGTGACTGTGCGTAGGGCATCTCGGTCCAAGTAGGGGTGTAACAGGCGCACCAGGCGAACCTGGGCAAATGCCCCCCTGGTCATGGTCATTACATGATCTTCCAGATTTAACCGTGAATCCAGGAGGATGCCCAGGTTGCGCGCCCTATCTACAGGGGGCAACACCTCACCCCCTATAACCAAAGATGGAATATCTTGTTCGAGCCGAGATGCCGGAACCCACAGCCACTCGGTCTTGGCAGGGTTACGCCGAAGCCTGTTTCTCCCCATCCAGGTCTGCACTGCATCCAGGCACCGGGACATCACGTCGAGGGCATCACTGGGCTGGTTCGGGGTGGATATAAAAAGCTGAGTATCATCAGCATATTGATGATACCTCACCTCGAAATCACGGATGATCTCCCCCAGCGGCTTCATATAGATGTTGAACAGAAGAGGAGAGAGGACCGACCCCTGGGGCACCCCACAAGTGAGGGGCCTCGGAGCCGACCTCTGCCCCCCGCCAACACCGCCTGTGAACGTCCCGAGAGGTAGGAGGAGAACCACCGTAGAACAGTGCCCCCCACCCCCAACCCCTCGAGGCGTCGCAGCAAGATACCATGGTCAATGGTATTGAAGGCCGCCGAGAGATCCAATAGGACCAAGACAGAGGAGTATCCCTTGTCCCAGGCCCTCCAGAGATCATCCACCAGCACGACCAATGCCGTCTCTGTGCTGCACCCAGGCCTGAACTATAGGAACTATTGATTTTCCTCATTCCCATATTTACCTCAACAACAGGATCTTCAGAATATTGTTTCAATATATCAAGTACTTTTGGATTTCCAATGGCACCCAAAGCTTCACCTATGGAAAAAAAGAAAAAAGTAGGAGAATGAACACAGGTCAGTGATGCAAGAATTCTTTGACATGTACAATCAATACAAAGATAACAACAGCAATAACTCTCTTGAATCCTTCAATCAACTGGTAGCCAAAGGTTGCTAAATTAAAAAAAACCACAAAATATAATCAGAATAATTATAGATATTCAAACCAAGGACAGCATAATGTACAGATACAATCCATCAAGACTGGTCATTGAAACAAATTTATTTCAACTACTGAAGGAAAGGAACACAATGCAGATGTGCGGAAAAAGCATTTACCCATATTAGCCAACAGGAATTATTGTGTGCCTTTTTTCCTAAGAAGAGAGATATTGTATTATTGTATTAAAATATTGTATTTAAAATCTTCCCCATCAACACTAAAATACTAGTTAAAACAACAGGTATTTAAAAGTATTTTGATCTTAAGGCAATGTAGCAACTATTTAAATGGTTGTATTTTGAGTTCCCATAGAAAACTGGGTAACATTGGGACATGCCATGTTCCATTTGAGAGGATTGGATGCTCCCTTCAGGTGGTTCTAACTGCAGGCCCCTTAAAATTGACCTTAGCTAACAGCAGGTCACCATGAAAGGGAGCAAACATCAATGCTCTAGGGCAGGGGTTTCCAACTTGGCAATTTTAAGACTTGTGGACTTCAACTCCAAGATTTCCTCAGCCAGCATTGGGCCCACAGGTCTTAAAATTGCCATGACTGGAGACCCATGCTCTAGGGCAGTGTTTCTCAACACACATCTTAAAGTTGCCAAGGTTGAGAAACACTGCTGTTGATGATCTTAACTATTTTCCTCTTTGAAAACTGCAATCATTATCAGGGACAAGGACAAAAAGTAAGCCAGTGACAGTAACTTAAGATTCAAAATCATAGTTTGTTAGGAGGGTCTTAGGACTGTCTAAAATGTGTCATTTAAGTTGATACCGTTCTTGACAAACAATTGCTTTTATAAAGTTTTTTTTTTTTTTTGTTAGTTACATCTGTTCTGAAGTGATCCAGTCTTTGGGACCGAATGATGAGAAGAAACCCAAACCTGCAGAGGATTTCCTTCACTGGCTTCATGTAGACCAGCTTTCCTAACCAGGTGCCATCCTGAATATCAAGTCCCCTAACCATCTTCAACTTGACAGCAAACAGTTCCCCGCTTCTCACCTGCTTCATGGCGCACCATGGGTTCCTGACATGTGTTCTGGAGCACATCAATGAGGACTGGGATGGCCCTCTCATCCTGCATCTGGCCAAGGCAGTACGCCAGCTCATGCTTCAGGAGAGCCGAGTCATCTTCAAAGGCTCGACTGATCCACTCAATGGCAGCTGGACCCCCCAAATTACGTAAGGTGAAAAGTGCGCGGAAGCGTGCCTTCAAGGATTGTTTGGGGTTCACCAGAATCTGGCCAATCAATTCAACTTCTTTCTCTTTCACCATCATTTACTGCTTTGCTGGTCTGAAGATCCAGGGGTGTTGACTTTAAAAATCTGGAGGACCTAAACAGACAAAAAAATAATAAAAATGAAAATGTCTAAGCAAATGTCATCTTGGAAGCAAATCGGACCTTGTGTGTTTTTTTAGAATGGAAAAGAACAGCATTGCCATTTTTTAAATTCATATACTGCTCAATAAAACAAAATAGCAGCATAAGAAATCCACTACAAATCAGGACAATGTGCATATGTACATGATCAATCTGGAGCAATAATTGTACACAGATCTTAAATATAGAAAAATGCATGCACAAACCCATTTTCCTCATGCCATCTGTCAATCTTTCTTAGCTTCTCCCAGTAATTCTCTTTTCAAAATTAAAAATACAGATATTACATGCAAATTCATACAGGCTGCTTAATCTTTTCTCTTGCCACTAAGAAATTTGCCCTCTGGCTTCTCAATAATGCCATGTTGTAGCTGAGAACCGCCACAAAAATTTTCTGCCAATGTTGGTGTCAGCGTTCCAGAAAACCCCCCACTCCAAGTAAAGACGCGGAAGCAAGCATTTTCCCAAGTCCTCTTTACTAAAATAGGCAAATTGGCACATCTGGGGAAAACCCGAATCTGAAAAGCCCGGGTTTTCCTTCAGTAAGTCAAAGCTCCCAAAACCATCCCCTTTTCCACCCAGTCGGTCACATGCTCCAATCAACGTCCGTTCCATCCCGATCCAGCCCCGACCACTCCTTCTCCAGATGTGGGATCACCCTGACCTTGACCGACAGGAAGAATGCTATTATGTCTACTAACCTCCTCTCCTACTTTCCCACACATGAGAAGATGGCAGCATTGGAGCTTCTGGCCTAATATGGCTTCCAAAGCTGCCAGTTGGACTGTGTAATGCAATAAAAAGCATACATTGGAACATTACTGTAATTTGCCAAAATGATTATATTTGAGAAAAATGGAGTGACCAATGTCAGAAATAGAGACTGAAAAACAAGAAGAAACAGATCAATTTGTATACCTTGGTAGAATATTTACCAAAGATGGGAAAATGGATTTAGACATTTTAAGACACGTGAATGTCGACAGAAAAGTTCTTAGGTTGTATGTGGACCATTCCAAGGAATGAATGCCGGAAGAAAAACAAAAGCTGTATGTAAAAGAGTGTGTTTGTGGCCAATGTGGTATATGAATGTGAGAACTGAGTAGGCCAGATGAAACAAGTAAATATAAGAGCCGGATATCTGTAGAGATTCTCAGTCATCCAAGTCATGGTTGTCCCAAAGGTGCTTTTTCAGGTGGCAATTGGACTTTCTTGTTTTTCTTTGAAGACATTTTGCCTCCCATCCAAGAAGCTTCTTCAGCTCCGACAGGATAGTGGGGAATGGAAGGATTTATATTCCTTGCAGAAGCTTCTTCTGAAAAAGCACTTTTGGGACAACCGTGACCTGAACGACTGAGAATCTCTACAGACTTTTAGCTATACAATTTTGGATGAACACCCCTTTGAAAGGTGTGGGAGTAGGAATGGATTTCCATGGGGGGGGGGGAATTGCAGACTACAGGAGCCAGGAGCACCACTCAGGTGACCCTGAGGACACAGATAAACCTCCAAGTGCTTCACTGACCCTCTAAAGCAGGGCTCTCCAAACTTGGCAACTTAAAGACTTGTGGACTTCAACTCCCAGAATTCCTCAGCCAGCTTGCTGTGTACAGCTTTGCTGGCTGAGGAATTCTGGGAGTTGAAGTCCACAAGTCTTCAAATTGCCAAATTTGGAGAGCCCTGTTCTAGGAATATAAATCCTTCCATTTCCCCACCATCCAGTCAGAGCTGAAGAAGCTTCTTGGATGGGAAGCAAAATGTCTTCAAAGAAAAACCAGAAAGTCCAGTCGCCTCTTGAAAAAAGCACCTTTGGGATAAGAGCCGGATGTAGTAAAAATCCAATTAAATGAATGTAAACTGAAAACAAATAAGAGTAAGATACAGAAAAGAATTGCGACAGATGGCCTGGTCAACCAAACGCCGTGTAAAATTGGGCAGAGAGGAAGGGGAAAACTGAGAAAGTTGAAGTTGGATAAACTGTAGAAAGAAGATTCCAGAACAGGTAATATTCGGCTCTTCCATTAGTCCCTCAGGGCATGAAGCTCACCTGCCCCCTCCCGTTCTGTTTCCATAGCAACACGGAACCGCGAGGTCTACCCTACTCACCCGACCCTCACACGCGTTCTTCAGCGGCGCATGCGCACTCACCTTCGAGGAAGGGCTAAGGGGCGGACGGAGCCAAAAGGCAAAAAGGAAGAGGGGACGCGAAGAAAAGCTGCTCCTTTCCTCCGGGCTGTGTATACTCTCGTTCTTGTTAAATATAATGGAGGAAAAGAGGATAGAATGGTTTTTTTTTTCAGAAGCAGCTGCTTCAAATGAAACACAATATTATTATTTTTTCTTAAACCCTCCCCCCCCCGAAGTCAACGACTCCGATGTGAGTGGAGCAAATAAAGCGCCATGCGCATTGGGACCAAAAAAAAAAAAAAGATGACTCCTCTGCCAGCTCATAGGCTGATTCGAAGGACGATAGATCTATAGCTTTACAAACTCACCCTCGGCTTTTGGATTTGAGGGTTGACTTTGGAATTTTTTTCCCCATTTAACTCTACCTTCTTACTTCCTAGCCAGCATGCTTGGGCCACTCGTTTTAAAGTTGCCAAGGTTGAGAGAAGCAACCTGGAATGAAGGGGAAACATCCTAACAGTGAGGACAATTAACCAGTGGAACATCTTGCCTTCAGAAGTTGTGGGTGCTCCAACACTGGAGCTTTTTAAGAAGAGACTGGACAGTCTCTTGTCTGAAATGGTAAAGGATCTCCTGCTTGAGCAGGGGGCTGGACTAGAAGACCTCCAAGGTCCCTTCCAGCTCTATTCTGATTGAGAAACACTGCCATGGAGTTGACATTTGCTCCCTTTTCTGTATTCATTCACTCCTAGCGACCATATAAACCAGGGAGTGTCCAATCTTGGCAAATTTAAGACTTGTGGATTTCAATTTCCAGAATTTTTTTTTGAAAAAAGTTTTTTTATTTTATTTCTTATAAATATATTGTAAATGTACATTCTCTTATCCATAATTAATCCCACATATACATATATTTTCTAAAGAAAAAGAAATTAAAACTATATTCGGGGTTGCTCTTCTACCCTTTCTTCTCCCTTATTTTACAACAATCCTCCTTCTCCTTCTTCTCTCTTTCCAAAATTGAAGTCCCCTCCATGCTGGGGAATTCTGGGAGTTGAAGTCCACAAGTCTTTAAATTTGCCAAGATCCATGATTTATATGGTTGCTTGGACACTATGATTTATATGGTTGCTTGGAGTGTAGGCCTACACAAAAGAGAGCAAATATCAATGCCCCAAGGCAGTGTTTCTCAACCCTGGCAACTTTAAAATGAACATCTCTGATATAGATTTCTTCATGACAGTCTGTCCCCAGCCTGGTCCCTCAGATCTTCCAACGGTATCTCTATCATCTGTAGGAAGTTAGCACCCACCCCTCTCCTAGAAGAATGAAATATTCTAGGAAATATTAAAAAGGCATAATATTATACCTCCCTGGATGAGAAAAAGAGAAACATGCTCTTGGAAAGCAGCCCCCATTTTTGTTAATAGCCCCAGAAAGACTGGGCCATCCTATCTACAGGACAAAAAGCTGGGCAAGCTTATCTACAACACAAAAGACCTTCACCCTTAGGACATAATAGGATTAGCCCTCTACCCATCTCACCACATGGCACCTGGGAAGATTACATCACCCAGCAAGATTCAACCAAGCCTGGGACTCAAGACAACCTACAAAGTTACCCCTGCATGGCCCCATGGGAGTCTGACAATCAATCAGAATACATTTCTTTCACAGGAACAGGAAGCAAGTTCAAGGCCCAAGAGAGGGTATAAATATATCTCACTCTCCACTCCATGTGGTCAGCTACCCAGGACTTCAAACCATGTGGTCCTGTCCACCATTAAAACCATCCTTCCAAGCAGTTTCCATGTTTCCAGTGTCTTTCTCCCCACTTGGAATTGAACCCAGATGGACTTTTCTTCCAACACACCATTGTAACGGGGTCCATCTTCCTTGTTGTTGGTTATTCTCTTCTTTTTCCTTGCACCTTTCCAGCATTAGAACCCTCTGCAAGAGTCGAGTCTTTTGCACAATGTGTCTGAAGTAAAATAATTTCAGCTTGGTTGCTTTGCTTTCTTGACCATCCATGGTATTCTCAGGAGTTCTGAGTTCAAAGGCATCAATAACATTTTCAAGAACACCCCCCCACACTCCAAAGAAAGTCCAGCTGTCTTTTGGAAAATCACCTTTGGGACAACCATGACCTGGATGATTGAGAATCTCCATAGATATGATTATGCACACCACCTTAACTATAGAAGATCAAGGCATTCAGTGCAGGGATATAGGTAACTGACCATAATTGAGCCCAGAATTACATTGTAAAAAGCAATGTTGGGTTATGTTTTTATGAGAGTAGTTGATCTTGATAACTTCCTAATCTAGTCTAATGTCTACAGGGTATTGCATGTAGAGAGGGTGGAGTTCACTTAAACAACTAGTTACTAGTATGTCAGGAGATTAACCCACTCTCTGCACTCAAGTTGTAGTAGCTGTTCTTTGTCAGGAATCGCAGTACCTACATTATGCAGGTTTTGGAAAGTATTGATTGAACTTTACTACAAAGGGAGAGAACTGGTTATAAGCAGAAATAATGAAAACCATGAGATTTGTTTTTGATTTTTTAATGTCAGTTAATAAAATATTTGTATAGAGCCCCAAAATTTCAAAATAGTGCAAAACATCTCACTATCATGCATCCATTGTTGGTAAAACCATTGCTCAATCCACTTCAGGTATGTATGTACAGAACAGACAACATGAAAACATATTCCAACATGTGTGCTACACAAATAGAATTAACTTCATTTTATTGTTTGGGGTTTTAAAGTTTATTCTGATCCATTTTGTTGTTCGTTTCAACCACATGCCAAAGAAGAACAATTGAAGGAGGAACCAGTTTGGGGGGAAGATGGAGGGAGATGCCTACCCTTGGCTTCTTGTCATCTCACTGTGCAGGATAGGGACAGTGTCAGATTGGTTTGTGCCGAAGTGTGCTGGAGACAGAAATGGAAATTTTTGCTTTACCTCCCCTGCAGTCTTAAGAGGATTTCAAGACAAGGCTTTTATTGTGCGATTGTCCTGCCTTGTTCACAGAATTTTGCAGAAGATCCAGACAACTTTCATTTGTAACCTACACATTTTCCTGCTGTTGGTGCCATCTTGCCCCAGAAAAAACTCTGTTAAGAAGGGAAGAGATGAAATCACCTTGCCACACGTTTTGATTTGCTAGCCACAATAGCTGTTTGCCTGGATGCAACTGTTGCCTAAGCTTTTTCCCCCCTTTTATTTTTTTTCAAATGCAATTTATAGAAGTCTGGTGGATTGTGCATATGTCTGTGTGTGTAAACATTCAACTCAAAATCCTGATACTTTGGTCCCAAGCAATTCATAAAAAATTAAACATTTTTTGAAAAAGAGGAGGGACAAATGGGGGAGGAAAAAGAGAGTTCTGACTAATAGAGGGAGGAGTTAAGCTTGGAAGTAGGTTTGTGCAGTGTTTGGAAGAGGTGACTGTGGTTTCCAGAGAGGGGATGTATCTTTCCTCTAGGTTTAGGTAGACATCACTGTCTTTATTTCAGGGCATTCTTGAATGTTCTCTAATGTAGCAATGACAGCCCACTACACATCCAAAGATGCCTTGGAAATCTTTCAATTTCCAGATGTCGGGGAGACCAAGATCATAGGTGGAATACCTGTGCTATATGCAGAAGATCCCAGTTGCCATTCTGAATGCCTGCTTTTAACAGGATCCTATTGTGTGTGTGGGGGGGGGATGAGCTGCCAATCAGGTGCAAATAATTAAGATCAGAATGAAAAAATAATCTGCCTGATGTAAGGCACCTTTCTAGGAAGCCAAGATAGTTATCAGGTTGATCTAACTGGTTTAGAGCTGCCCAACCAGTGAGAGTTGATTCCATGTCAGGTATCAAACAAGGAAGGAGAATAACGAGCTGTATTTCAGTGGCAGAGGAGCAAACTGGAAGTGGGGGGGAGGCCAGTTAAGCAAGGAACTGGCAAATGACAGTAGCTGATGGGCTGGTTGATCAATTCAATCCATGTATCTGTAGAGCCAAGGAAGCATATGGACAGAATTGGCCAAGCTGTTAGAATTGATGCAGCTTTCAGAAGGGGAGTCCTCTGCAGATGTGACATCAATCAGGAGATTTAGGACAGTCATGATGATCAGTTAACTTTTCCAAAAGTTGGGCCATCCTCAGCAATTCCATAAACAACTGCTCTCTTACGGAACGTTGTTCCTTTGGACCTCATGCTTTCCCCCCCAAATATCTCCTCCCTTTAATGTTCTGCCTTTGTCCCTCTCCTGGAATCTCTCGAACCTTGAATTCTTTCCAAAACTACATACAGTGTAATCCCACATCTACAAGGCCCTACTTGAGTATTATCTTCTTACTGGTAGTGAAATAAATACTGCACAGACACTCCACATTCACATATCTCTCCCTCATTCCCTCTACATTCACAAGGAGAAACCAGATTAGATTAGGTGTGTTATGTGAATAGAGCCAGTAATTACGACACAGTGGAAAAGGAGCCAGGGCCAATCCCATTGATCGAATGCTCCTTTCCTTGAGTAAAATAAGATTGCTTGAGTCAGCACACATGCACCAAGCTGTTGTTACCAAGTTTGCAGAAAAGTTGCCTACAAATTCTCCTTGGCTGAATTTTTCCACGTACCCTACCATTCTGAAATACCTGGTTTTATTTCCATATGGAAATAAACTTAGGCATTTATAACTGTCCACTTTTGTATTTCTATGATTCTTAACATTCTTATCACAATTTTCAGACTTTTAACTGTCCACTGTTCTCCCGTGCATTACTTTTGTATGTTCATGTGTAAACAAACACCACAAAAAGAAGTCAATCATGAAATAATCATGATGGTAGCAAGAGTGCAGTGTGGTGTTTGACCAATGCTCAGAGACGATGTTCATGAACATCGATAAAACCTCACCCAGTATTTGTGATGCAGTCAAGATTTGAGGGTGGAGTAGAGTTTCAATGCATATACATTGCATATACAAACAGTAACTCAAGTTTTTGTATTTGTGCGTGAGACAAGAAAAAATGACGCAATGGAACTGTAAGACTGTAGCAAAATGCATGCTTCACTTCTGGAATTAAATCTAGAACTTCGTAATGGAAAGGAACTTCTTAAAGGAAAATAAAATGAGAAAAAAATGTCCTAAAATAATAGAACAGAAAAAAGGAAGCCATAGCCCTTCAGTTGATGGACTACATTCCTAACATTATCTGATTGCTGGGCTTCCATGAAGGCCACAGCAATAAAAGAGTTTCATGCTGATCCCAAGATCCCTAGCTGCCATTCTCTAGCCTTGCCTCGGTGAGCTGATAATTGTGAATAGTTTGGGTGAACTTCAGATCAGCCTTTGGGGCACTGCTAATCTTGATGCAACTTGGTGCTAGAATTGCAGGGAAGATTCTGATGATATTTCTTTAGCCCTGTTGAAAAAGGGTGAAGACAAAGAAAGCTACCTTTCCCAGTATTATATATTTTGTAACTTATCCTTATTTCCACTTGGCACAGGGATTTTTATTTTATTTACAGTTGGCTGCTAGTTCAATCCCCAGGATTTTCAGTTCACAAATTAGGCAGCATTTAGTGGGAAATACTCTTCTATGACGAAGACCTCAGAGCAATGTTTCTCAACCTTGGCAACTTATGAGGGGTCAACTTCAACTCCCAGAATTCCCCAGCCAAGCATGCTGGCTGGGGAATTCTGGGAGTTGAAGTCCAGTCATCTTACTGTTACTAAGGTTGAAAAACATCTGCCTTAGAGAGCAGCTGCCAATTCATGCTGGAAATACTGGGTTGGTTGACAAATACCCTGATTAAATGGAAGGCAGTTTCTGATGCTTCTTGGGCAAAAATGTGCCAGGAAAGAGGGGATGGTGGGAGCTTACGATGAAATGCAGTCAGCAGCATCTTTGATTTTTTTTTAGGATCCTTTCCAGGAACAAACTCTTTGCTCTCTCACCTCTCTCTGCTTAATGGGGGAATTTGGCAATGCACATGTATTTGAGAAGGTATGCGTGACTTGTGATCCTTGGCAGCGGAAGCAAACCTCCCAAATAAAAGAGTGAGGAGCAGGAAGGGCCAGGGTGAGGGGCAGAAAGGACAGCTCTGAAAACTCTATGGCTTTGACATGGCTGTATAAAAGAGGGAAGGGACCAGGAAGAGAAGAGAAGGGAAGGCAATTCTAGCAGACTGTGGAAGGGAACAAGGGGGAGGGGGAAGTCAGGGGGAGGCAGATTGGTCTTAGCTGCTGCTGCCCTCCTCAGCTGAGCGCGTATCCGACTTCAATTTGACAAACTCCTTGGCCACCTCGTCATTGTTTCTCTGCGAGAGGATGCGCAGCACCGTTAGGCCCGTGTCATCCATGTGAATGCGCCGGCCCAGCGGCAGCCAGCAAGCACAGCTGCCCCGCTGCACGATGTCCTTCAGCTGCAGGATGGCGATGCCCACTGTCCGGTCTTCCCGTGCAAAGCAGTAGTCTTTGACGCAGACTTGCAGCTCGTAGCACTCTGGGCCTGTCTCAGTGCCGAGGGTGCTGGAGGAGGAGGAGGAGGAGAAGGAAAGCAGGAAAAGATAAGGTCATTTGCAACTGAAAATCCTTGCCTGCATCTTATGAAAAGGACATGTGTTGAAGTCTGGAGGCCACATTAGCTCAGGGCTCTCCTTGGCCCACTATGCTGACCCATGTTTTGCTCTCATTTTCACAGCTAGTTTCCAAACTGTTACCCATAAACTATGACTAGAGAAAACTGTCTCTACCTTGGTGGGTTTCAAAAATTTTAGCAAGAGGTTCTCTGCCCAGTTGCTGGGTGGGCGTGGCCATGGTGGGTGTGGCCTAGTTGGTCTCCTGCACCACAGCACGGGGGGGGGGGCGTTTTTGCCCTCCCTGGGCTCCAGAGGCTTATTTTGAGCCTCTGGGAGGGCGAAAACGGTCTCCCCAGGCCCCGGAGGCCCTCTGGAGACCAGAAACGGGCCCATTTCTGGCCTTCCCGAACTTCCAGTAGGCCTGTTTTTTGCCCTCCCTGAGCCTCTGCGCGCGCCCTGCACTTACCTGCATCCAGGTATGCTGTGTGGGGACTCCTAGGAGGGGTGGGGTGAAGCCAGGAATGGGATTTGGGGGTTTTCCGAACTGCACAGAATCTTAGCTAGAGGTTCTCCCAAACCCTTGCAAACCCCCAGCAGCCTATCCCTGCTCTATCTGCCTCTCTATGTCCTTCTCCCTTGCCAGGGTTTATATTTTGCTCATGCTTTTCGAAATTGACACTTTTGATTCTTACAGGTATTGACTCAGTGATCCTGTTGATGCAGATTGTTAACTGATTAATGCCTCAGATTGGCTGCGCTGTGATACATCACTAGGTAATGTATCAAGGTACTTGATTCTCAATCTGTGCTGGATTTACAACCAGCACTTGCTATGCAACTTTCAACAGTATGGATGCAAGCTGCAATGTTGCCTCTTGCAATTTCATTTCCTTATACCACGGCTGCAAAGGCATCTTCCTCACAAAGCGTAGAATTGTGTTTTTCCCCCCACTTTCCTTTAGTGTACAGGTGCGTCTTTGCTGCTCAAAATGATGCATTTTCGTTTTACAACTGCACGTTCTGGATAACCAAGTTTCTATGGTAGTTTCACATTAGCAGCTTGTAATTGCAATGAACCTGCCATATAGAGATTGGCCCATACATAGCACATACAGGTGGTCCTCGTGTTACATTTAATGACCATTCAAAGTTACAAAGGCACTTTAAAAATGACTTACAACCAGTCCTCACGCTTATTGTCATCTCAGCGTCCCCACGGTCACATGATCAAAATTTAGGCACTTTGCAAGGCAATGGCATATATTTTATGATGGTTGCAGATCCCGGGATCATGCAATAGTCATCTGTGATATTCCCAGCCAGCTTCCAACAAGCAAAGTCAATGGGGGAAGTTGGATTCACTGAACCACTGCATGAATCACTTAGTAATTACAGTAATTTGTTAACAAATGTGGCAAAAGTAATAAAATCAGGCATGTCTTACTTAACAACCACAATGCTTAACAATGGAAATTATGATCCCAGTTGTGACTGTAAATCGTGGAATATCTGTTCTTTTACAGTACATCTTTAGTAGCAGTAGCACTTAGACTTATATACCGTTTCACAGTGCTTTTACAGCCTTCTCTAAGCGGTTTACAGAGTCAGCCTATTGCCCCCAACATTCTGGGTCCCCATTTTACCGACCTCGGAGGGATGAAAGGCTGAGTCAACCTTGAGCCTGGTGAGATCCGAACTGCCAAATTGCTGGCAGCCGGCAGTCAGCAGTAGTAGCCTGCAGTACTGCATTCTAACCACTGCGCCACCATGACACAATACTCTGCATGACTGTGTAATGCTTCAATTTGAAGTAGAAGCCTTCCTAGTATATATGTGATCTTGGGAAATGATGCAAGTGGTTTAATGAGACAATGACAAAGCACCTCTTCAAATCCAATTCAAGGTATCACACTGTCCTAATTGTCCACTTTGCTCTTTCCTAGCACCAGAATTATAGTCATTAATTGCAGGAGAATGCAATTGCTTTACTGGATAATTCTCCATTTTCTTTACCGTCTCCCTTCCTTGCCAATAGAATTCTCAGGCCAGGCCAAATTTTGCAGAGAAAAAAACCAGTGTTGCCTCTATTCAAGACAGGGAAATCAGAAACACTCACAACTGGATGCTCTCATTGTATTTGGGGGACCAGCTGTTGTTCTTGGACTTGGTAGCAAATTTCCTTTTTTTGTCACTGAGATGTGGCCCAATGATGTTGACTTCAATGAAAGGCCGGAAGATTCCCGATGTTTGCCACTTGAGATCATTGGCAGCTACCACTAAGGCAGAAAGGAGACAGAGGAGAAATGAATATGGTTGTTGACCTTACCTTAAAGCAAATAATGTGGCATTTATTAGAGCAGAAGAAGTATGGAACTGGCAATCTGTAATAGTCTGGATTTTCTAAATTACAATTGGCTATGCATCTAATACCTTGACATTTGTTAGTTCAACTGTTTTGAGACAGATATATATATTTGTTTTTCTTTCTTTTTCGTAGGTTTTATGTGTATGTCTCTTTAGCCAGGTTCTACCTACGTAAACCAAGATATTATGCAGCCCTAGTTCAGTGAAAACCACAATTCACTAGTTTCTGGGCTTTTTTTTTCTTTTTCTGGCAGCCAGCAGACCCTTAAGGGTCCCCCTAAGGGTCTGCTGGCTGCCAGAAAAAAAAAAAAAAACTAGTGAATTGTGATTTCCCTGAACTAGGGCTGCATAATATCTTGGTTTACCTAGGTAGAACCTGGCTTCACCCCCCCCCCCAAGTAGAAATGAGCCCTCCAGTATAAACCAATTGAATAATCCAGATTGTTAATGAATCAATGTAGGACAGTAACGTGCTGCCCTCCCTAATAACCAATAACAAATGCATAGAGCCTTGACAAACTGAGGTTCTGTGTATTTCTATTGTAGCTAAAAAGTTATAACTTATGCATCTTTTCTGACTTGCCACCATCTATATGTGAACATTTCAATATTTTCCATTTTTTAAGCCACCCCAGCCTGAAGACTCTGGGCAGTGTGGATAAAAGTAAAATGTCAGAATAATAATAAGGCAGCAGATGTGACTCCCAAAAATGAAAAGAAAGGTAGAATAAGATTTAGTGGCTTCCCAGAATGCATTGGTTCTAGAAGCCCCAGGCAGTGTGGTTTTTAGCCACGCTGGTCTCCTGGTGATCATCACTGACCTTTGACTGTTACTTTGTGTTCGCTGGTTCCAGGATGGGTGAAAAACTCAACATGGACAGAGACTTCTCCCACAGGGTCATCTACTCCAGAGCCTGTGTGGCAAAAGGAGGCGGGCAAGAGGTCCCAGAGTAGCCAGACAAGAAGAGAGCAGAGGAGATGACCATTAGTCTTTGCCAGATCAGGTGCCCTGTCCATCAATAATATGCAGGGATTCAGGGCTGCTGATTTCCTTGGAGTGGTTCCTCTTTAGAGGCACCTCTGGCTTTGAGTCTCTTAACAATAAGCTCTTCCCTCTATTAGATTGATCAGGTTAAGGCTTCCCCTCTCACAATTTTTAAAAAAATGCCATAATAATATGGCAGAAATTGACCACCTGACTTATCACCCAAGCCTGATTTGGTGGGCTGAGAGAGCGTGAGTAGCTCAGTGTCATGACTGCTGCTTTCCTCACTAAAGCAATCTCCTGGTTTCCATCCATTCATCCATCCATCCATCCATCCATCCATCCATCCATCCATCCTCCTGCTAGCCTGCCAACCAACCAACCAACCAACCAAACAAACAAACAAACAACCAGTCAACCAACCAACCTTGAGCATTAAGGACCCCATAGTTCAACTCTGAGCTACAAATATTCTCTTCTCTGTCTGTCTATGTCTGCCTGCCTGCCTGAGTATCTATCTATCTATTTGTCTGTCTGTCTGTCTATCCCTCTCTCTCTCTCTCTCTCATCTCTCATCTCTCTATACATCTCTCTATCTCTCTATCTCTCTATCTCTCTATCTCTCTATCTATCTATCTATCTATCTATCTATCTATCTATCTATCTATCTAATTTATTTCTCTCCCTCTCTTCTCTCTCTCCCCTTCTGTCTCTCTGCCCCCCCCTCTCCCTCCCCCTCTCTCCATCATTATATACTGTATATCGCCCCAAATCTTAGAAGACTCTAAGAGGTTTGCTTCTGGGCCATGAACCAAACAACAGCATCAACCTTACTTTTTCATCACAGTCTGCAGGACCTTCCCCTTTGCAGTTGTTCTACCTCCATCCCACCCCACCCCACTCCACCCCACAGCTCCAGCCCCAGACCCAAGAAGCAGGAGATCAGTTCCTTATTCAAACAGGCTTCCTCCACAAAGGAGCTTCACATGCAGCAAAGGCCAAAAGGAAAGGCAGGAAGGGCAGGTGGAAAGAGTCAGTCTGCAGAGGTGCACAGGGCCAGCGGTCTGGTTAGATAGCATGGACAAGGTTTCAATCCAAGATGGGAGCAGCAGTGTCAGAGGGGAAGGGAAAAGGAGAGCTGGTGGCAGCAGGGCAGCCACAGAGTTGGGAAAAGGGAGCCTTCCCAGGGGTCAGACCCTCAGGAAAGGGGGCTAAGGCTGCGGATCTCAGAGTGAGGGAGAAACATGATATTTCATCTCCCCTTCCATCAGGAAGTTCCTAACCATAACCAAAATGATTTGCTGTGTTTGTTGTGTGAACGTGAACACGCAATCTGATTTTAAGTCAGTCCTGGGCTCAAGAGTCAGAAAACTCTATCCTATAAAGCTCATTGAGAACTGCAAGATAGCGGGCAGGGCAATAATCTGTGTGCTATGATTTGTCCTTAAAGTTCTCAGATATGTAGAGATAAAAAGCTTCTGTGCATGGAAATTCCCTTTGATAATGAATATAGCTAATGTAGGGCTTAGCTCACACGCTAGGCACAGCTCTCACTCCTCTTAAGTCTTCACATATTTCAAGACTCCTGGCAGCTCCCGCCTTCGTTTTTTGTTCTCTGACTAAATACTTCTAAGTGTTGGGAGTTGATTGTAGTAGGATCACTATCCTTTCATTCATTTGTAATTTTCTTTTTTGTTTGTAATGTTCCTTTTTCATTGGCAACGTTCTTTTTGCATTTGTAATTTTAGTTTGCATTGTGTTTCTTTTATTGGACTTGACTACAGATGTTGGCAGAATAGGGAGATTACTTTAACCCTGGTCCTTAAAGTTGGTCTAAATACACTTTGAACAATGATAGAAATCATGAAATGAAGACGAGGGGCAAACAATAGACAGTCTTTGGTAATTGCCTAGATCCGCAGCTTTTGCCCCCTGCATGCTTAAGATCTTTAAAAACCCATGCCTTTTGTTGCCAATAAAAGATTTTAAAAAATGACATACATACAACCCCCCACTATCCCAATTCCTATATCACATGCTCAGACTCACTGGATCCACAAGGCTTAAAACCAACAGGTCATTTCCATGTGCTAAAGGCAAGCAGGGGATGGGCAAACTGGTGGAGCAAACCCCCATGGCATCAAATCAATGTCCCCTTCCTTGCCCCACCCTCCTCCTCCTCCTCCTCCTCCTCCCCCACCCCCCACGATGTGCTTGCAGACAGGTATCATTCTGATGCATTCGGTGCACTTGCAAAAAGAGGCTCAGCCTGAGGGTACCAACACTTGGAACAGGGCTAGTTCAGAACATCCCTTGCTGGAAGAGAAAAGGAACATGGTCTTGGATTTGGCTGCAAAGCTGCCCCCCTCCATTTCTTTTCCAGACCTCCACAGGGATGGCATCCTGTGCTTCTGACTAGCCTTGACCAGTGTGGTGGAATGAGGGGTGCATTTGAGGATGGGAAGGAGTGTCAGGACAATGGTATGACACGTACCCTTCTCAGGATAGGTTTCTTCACTAAGAGTAAATCTAATCCCTTTTCCACCATGGACTAGTAATGAGAAAAGGAAGGAAGGAAGGAAATGATACAATATTGGAAGGAAAAGGAGAAGGAAGGAGAAGATGGTGGTTGGAAGAACAAGGACAAAAATGCGCAGGAGGACAAGAGAAGGTTGGAACGGAGAAATGAAAATGGGCAGACGGTGGAGAGAAAAAGAAAAGAAAGATCAGCCCGCACATCTGCTTTAGAAGGCAGCTGGAGAAGCAAAAGGTAGGTTAGGGCAAATGCCAACTTGAATGCTAGAGAAGAAGGCAGAAAAAGGCTAAACCAGAGTAATTAAGTTATTGTACTAAATTCATTGGCCACTTCAATCTCCAAAGCAACTTTAGGCTAAACCAAATTTTCTGAACTTTGGCAATTTTAAGACTCCCCATGCTGGCTGGAGAATTGTGGGAGTTGAAGTCCACATGTCTTAAAGTTGCCAAGGTTCAAAAATATTGGGATGAACTAATGTCCAAGATGCTGAATCCTGTGACAGCCCTATTAAAAAAAAATCATCTTTCTGGATGAGCCAAAGATTCCCATTTCTCCCCTGAAGCAGCAGTCAGCAATCTTCTTCTGCATAGGCCAGAGGCCATGCTGTCACCACTGCCACTATTATGGGGGGATGCGTCGCTGCACCAAGGCAGCTAGTGAAACCATCACCAAAATGTTGGTCTGAGAGGTAATGAGAGTTTTCTCCTTCTCTCTCATGGGCAGGGTGAATATATTTCTTTTTAGGACCATGAGCTGGATGATTTTGGGGTGGCAGGTCACATCCAGCCCAACGACCGTAGGCAAACAACCTCTGCCCTGAATGGATGTTTGCATTTCCTGCAGAAGCAAATCAGGTGCCTCCTAGCAGCACATGGAGCATGAGGCCAGCAGTCCCCTCATCTTGGCTGTCCAAAAGATTTAGGAATAGCTGCTGGAATATCCTAATAAGTGGATATCAATAGGCTTGTGTTCTCCAATAGAATAAACGGTGTAGAGTCTGCTTCAAAAAGATAGCAGAAGCCTTAATGGGAAGCCCCAAAGCAAATCTATGAAGGTAACTCCCTTTCCTTAATGTTTTTTCATTCAGAAGGGTGAGAGTGACTTGCTTCTGACTGTGGAGGTACCATTTAGCCACGTAAAGAGCCCAAGAAGGACTCTTGAAGATCAAAGTACCCCAAGAGCATCATCTTTAGTCTCCTTGGAAAAGTCAGTGGCCTTAAACAATTCCCATCCACCTAAACTCACTCCTTACACCCCACCCCATCCCACCCCAGTTTCTTAGCAAGCATACGTGGACCGCTCTGGGCAGCTTACCCTGAGTGGATTGGGTCTGGACGAAGGTTTTGATGAGCAAGTCTGTGGCTTGTGTGTAGAGTGAGAGGGCGTAGCGCAGGGATTGCAGATCTGGGCTTTTCTCCAAGAAAGTTTTTTTAAGACCAACTCCTCCTGCATGGAAGTATTGCTGATGGGGGAAAAAGAGGGATGGGAAAAGCAGGAAATCCAGTTTAAGTACCCAGCCTGTACTTTCAAGACTCTCAACCATTGGTTATACTTGGACTGGAGACTGGGAGGGTGGAAGGATGCTTTTGAAAGTGCGGGGCATAGTTCAGTTTTCACAGTTCTCCTTTCATATGACTGTAGTCATATCGGCCTGTAATGGTGTCATTACAGGTAATCCTCGACATACAACCATTTGTTTAGTGACCGTTCAAAGTTACAACAGCACTGAAAAAGTGATTTATGAACATTTTTCACACCTACGACCATTGCGGCACCCCCATGGTCTCCTGATCAAAATTTGGATGGCAACTGGCATATATTTATGACAGTTTCAGTATCCTGGGATTATGTTATCACCTTTTACGAACTTCTGACAGGCAAAGTCAATGGCGAAGCCAGATTCACTTAACAACCATATTACTAACTTAAGAACTGCAGTGATTCACTTAAGAACTGTGGTAAAAAGAATTGTAAAATGAAGCAAAACTCACAACTGTCTTGTTAAACTACAGAAATTTTGGGCTCAATTGCAAGTCGTAAGTCTATCTGTACTGAATCAACTCTTTTCTGGTTTGCATAAAGCACTGTAGTATATAAATAAATAAAACTGGCTGGATTTAGGCAATGCCCAGTGTTACATACAAGTTAACCATGGTTAATCTTATTTAGATCTGTGTAAATTTAACTGTAAGATCTTCAATTCTTCTCTAGCCATGATACCAGTTAACCTCATTTCCACTCATTTCAATTATGGTAAACATCTATGAAATGACTGGGTGTCAATGACATTATCCTACATTATCCCAAGGCAGCTAAGATTGGATCCGAGGTGACAGTTTCCTCAAGGCCATTCAAATAAGCAGCAGTTTGAACCCAGAACTTTCCAATGGTCTATATACTATATTGATTCTAAAATGACAAATACTGAAAAACGGGAATTCCAATTAAATGGATATGTCCCCACTGAAATTCAGCTTGTTCTCAGAATCTGAAACAGTCTTTCTCAAGCTTAGGAACTTTAAGATGGGTGGACTTCAACTGCCATAATTCCCCAGCTTGTTCCCAAACTTGAGAAACCCTGATTTAGAATTTAGCTGGGATGAAGGGTGAGGAGAAGAACATAGAATTATTTACCTTGATGGTATCCAGAGCAAGTTCCACCACAGCACACTGTTTGGGTGTTAAACTCTTAGCTTCCTCACGTACCATGTGATCCTGGCAGGAAGAAGCCATGATGTGTAATAATTGTCTGCACAAGATACCCGTAACTTCTGTTTTCTATACATCTCTAACCATGAGCCACTCTATATATTCATTCTGAGGCTGCATTTGGAAACCTAGACTTTCAAGGGCATTTGGGTGATTTGAATGGGAAAAGAAGACTGATCAGGTTGTAAGGGGTCACAAATCTCAAAACAACATTTTGACCTAGTGGGTTGTTAGACCTCATGCGCTGTCTCATAGTCTGTAGTGTATAGACTGGTGTTTCTTAACCTTGGCAGCTTTAAGATGGGTGGATAGTTGGGTTCTTACCATTTCTATGATGTAGTGGTCCCCTTTTCATATGCTAGCAGTACAGAAGCTGGTCTTCTGTCTGACTCATTCTGACTTTGCTAAGGAACAACATAGGGCACTGCTAATCTTTCCTTGCATTGCTTACCTTCAGTTTTGAAAGCTGCCCTAATTCCTTGGCTGCATTGAAGATCATCTGTGTACCCTGAAGAGCAGGAGGAATGAAAAGAAGAAAGGATATATATAATAAAGAGGAGGAGGCAATTGCATACCCACTAAGTTCACATGGAAGTAGAGATATCTCTTCATAATTTAGGATAAGAAAATCAAGTGACCTTCTATTCAGGAAAGCTTGTTTTCTCAAAAATTTGCAGGAATGCCATTGTAATATATTTGTCTAGTTGATTTATTCTGCCACACATGGGATTTATATTATGGCTTCTTAGTAAGGGACTGTCAAGTCAATCACAGTGTAGATAAGTTGTGTCACCAAAGGATTTAATGGTCTTATGATAATTCGGGCTACTGGTGGCAAATTTTTAGATTTTTTTCTCATTGGATAGTCGCTTTGTCTCTGAATAATCTACTTTTATTTCTAAGAAGAATATTATTTACTTGTAAACCTAACAAAGATAATTAGATATGTAAATACATACCTTCCAGTTTTCAGAAAACCTGTTGTTCCTTTTATTAGGTCTTCATAGTCTTTAAAGAACATTTTAAATGAAAATGCAGATTCCTTAACATAACATTTCCTGACTTAACATTATTCACAATTTTTACCTGAGTGGAAAAAAAAGAAACCTCTGAACTTCTCTTTCTGAATTAAAATGTCTTTGATTTTAATCTTATGACATCGAACCAGAGTTCCTGTTCATGATCTAAAACATGGTGCCCTTATTTTCTTCCACAAAATGTAAGCAAATACTGTTAGACTACATAAAGATATATGGTGGGATGTGGTTAATTAGGCAAGGACATTTGTGAACATTATTTAACCCAACTACACGGCACCTCCCAGATTTATTAGGTCTACATTTCAGAATTTCCGAGCTAATATTCCTCTAGCTACCAATCTTGGAAAGTCCATCTAGAAGCTGCATGGGAGGGAAGCTTGGTTTATCTTCTGCTATTGAGTACCTGCTTATTCAGTATCTAGATTGAGTACCTGCTTATTCAGTACCCATAAAGTATAATGTGAGCAGTTATCATGATTACTGCAGAACAGTGTTTCTTAACTTCAACAACTTTAAGAGGTATAGACTTCAACTCCCAGACTTCCTTAGCCAGGATGAGGTGTGGAGAAATACTGCTGTAGAATGACAATTGGTTTGATTGACTGACTCTCTCTCTCTCTCTCTCTCTCTCTCTCTCTCTCTCTCTCTCACACACACACACACACACACACACACACACACACACACGCTATACATGCAGTGCATCCTGATACTATCCACTCAAGAGTTCTTAAACCACATAAATGTGAAATTACTGACATTCTAAAAAAGATATCTAATGTGTCCCTCACATTCAGTTCATTGGAAGTTATCCAATGTGGCCCCAATGTTTAAACAGGGAAATAGTGGAAATCATTGGCTGATCAACTTAATGCTTGTGATGGGTAAACTGGTAGAAATGATGAAAGAAAAAAGAACTAAGCCCACAGAGGAACAAACTGCATGGATTCTACAATCCTATTTCACCAATTTTCTTAGGGAGCATCAACAGCCATGTGGATTAAGGTGACAATCCTGGCCCCCAGCAATCACTACAAGACATTATTCAGTAATGGAATAATTCTGATATGATATGAACAAATTCTGATCTTTTTAACATGATTATGACGAATCTTTAAGGTCGTTCTTCTTCTTTGTAAACTATTTACTGGCTACGTGCACAATTCAAAGTGATGCGCTCCATAATTATTAGAAAGGTATAGAATAGTCCTGACTCTTACCACTTGAATAAATTTCCAAGAAAGATCCTGAACCTTAAATAACATAAATGACATCCTCCTCCTACACACATATTCAATTCTTTACAGTTGCAACATTAGTGATAATGCCGTACACAGCTTCTTGAAGGCAGCCTGTTTGCATTAGTGGAATATGCAAACATTCTGCTGTAAATCACAAAATGCCTAGTAGAGAGCTTTTGAACAGCCATAATTTATAAATCCAAATTTCCTAATAAGAGACTCTCAATATTGCATCTTGTTGGTTCGTTGGTGAGTGGCTATCCAGACTGTGTTTTGAATCATTGCCAGCCACAAAATCCAGCTCATGCCCCTTCATTATTTCAGAAGCCCTTCCAGTCTCTGGAGCAGGAGTGGACAACTCACAGACCACTTGTAGCAACCAATTCACTCTGAGGTTCCAGAGCACCCCTGAAATGGACAAGACCAAATATTTTGACCCGGCATTTCTATGTTTTAGTGATGGGGGCATTAAAGGACAACCTAGGGCCGTGATGGCGAACCTATGGCACGCATGCCACCTGTGGCGGAGCCATATCTGTGGGCACGCAAGCGTTGCCCTAGCTCAGCTCCCAGCGCACATGCGTGTGCTGGCCAGCTGATTTTCGGGCCTTCTGGGCCCACCAGAAGTCGGGAAACAGGCCATTTCTGGCCTCCGGAAGGCCTCTAGGGGGTGGGGAAGGCTGTTTTCGCCATCCCCAGGCTCCTAGAAAGCCTTTGGAGCCTGGGGAGGACAAAAAAAAGGGCCCTACCTGGCCCACCGTGCCATCATATATCAAAAGCAGAGGGACCATGGGGGGGGGGTCGCACGCATGCATGTGGGGTGGGGCACATAGAATTATGGGTGTGGGCACATGCGTGCGTGACCCCCCCCCCGTGCTTCCCCCGCTTTTGGCACTCGATGGCAAAAAGGTTAGCCATCACTGACCTAGGGCATTAAGCCAGAGCACTCATATTTAGACTAAAGTTGAAAATTCTCTTTTCTTTTCTTTTCTTTTCTTTTTTTTTTTTGGCACAAATTAACTTCGTATTTTCACTGCTCTGATGTCATAGTATTATTGGCTACACCACTTCAGAGATCAAATTAAATGTATTGGAGATAAAAGGATGCCTTTTGGCTTTTTCTAATGCCCGTTGTTTTAGGTTTACCCAGCTTGATTCCAAAACAATTATGCAAACACTATATTATTCTATTTGGTCAACAAACAAGACTTAGACTGACTGTTTCTCCCTATCTACAAATTTTGTTCATTTCACCCTCAAAACAGGCAAGTGTGGACAGTTTCAGCTGCTTTCTAACTTGCAAAAGTTCTCACAGCTTCACAGCCAAAGGTTTCCTCCTTTTGGCTTGAATCTTATCCTTCTTTTGCTTCCTTGAAGACTAGAGGTTTTGCTGAAAGGAAATGAAACCAAATCTCTTTGAACAATGAATTCTGCATCTGGTTCCAAGCTGAGACGATTGAGATTACAGAACTACTCAGGATTTTTACCTCATAAAAACCAACCTCATAAAAAGATCCCGTGATGCTGCAGGTAGGCATATTTGTTCCAAATTGCTCTGATAAAATTCAACAGCACTCAATTTTTAAAAAAATGGAACAAGAGGTAAATATTTCTGCTTGGTTTAAGTCCTGTTTTTTAACTGTACCATAAAATCTCTCCACTAAAAGAAGAAATTACTATGTTTGCTGTATCAGCCTTGGTAAAACTTCAGCAATACCTGTAGATTCCTTGCATCTCTGAGGCTGATTTTTTTTTTAAAGGTAGCCTCAGTTGCAGAAGCTTGTTCTGCCTGCTTTGTAATCTCTGATTGAAGGAATAATAAGAATAAGAACAACAACAACAACAACAAAAGAAATTCAGATTATTTTCTTCTTGGATAGGGAGAGCTATAGTACTAGTTTCCCTTCAGTATAGGCCTTTTCAGAGGCTTGGGGCTATATATTCATGTGTGCTACGATTCTATTAACACAACTTTGCTTACACTCTGTATCTAGATATTGACTGCATATACAGTATAAACACTACAGGAAAGGACTCTTGACACAACCAGGCCACATATTCCTCCCTGTGGTAATATAAAGAGGAAACCCTAACAATCAACGAATAATGTTTCATGCAATCCAGCAGCACCCTGTGGAAGCTCCTAACATCCTTTTACAACATCAGACCAACTCCTGGTGTGAATGGGGCCCACTTGAAAGGGTAGGGGGTAGGAGTTTTATGTGTTTTGGTCTTTGGAACAAAATGGTGCTTTAAGCTCACAATGGTTTAAGGAACCCATTTCATCCTTTATCTTGTGACATTAGTTTGCCACCATTTTCTGAATATGGATAGGAGGTTTTAAAGAAAAAAATTGAATTAGTAAAAATCTGACTTTCTGAAAAGATCAGATTAAAATTTGAATTTGGATCCATTCTACCCCACAGTCCCCTATAAAATGATTTATAAAAATTCATTACATTCCACACAGGCAGACTGCTTTCGTTTGAATCTATTAATCCTTCTTTTTTCCATTTGTTTTACAGACATCCAATATAACCAATCATTTTTCCATCCATCCGTCCATCCAGCCACTTTACAGCTTACTCCTCTTATATTTCAAGTTGCCATTTTTTATGGTGGTTGCTATGCAAGTCTCTATGTATTGTCCCTTACCCCAGCTTTGGTCATTGAAGCCTTCATATTATGTGTTTATTCTCAAGGACAGGAACTATCATTTTTTTCTCCCAACTATGCACAAGGCTTTTTGGAAGTCTTTTCAGCTGATGACCAAGATGCAAACATTTTATATAGCAATACTGAGAGCCCCCACGCATTCTGAAAAGTCTCATTTGCTTGCAACAGATCCTGCCCCATCTATTCAATCATTTCCCCACATATTTGGTTTTACAACATCATCCTTCCCTCTCGGGCCCTATGGTTTGGATATCTTCTGCAGCCCTCCAACCCAACCCAACCCAACCCAACCCCCCCTTGCCCTCCCTCAACCCACTCACATGCAGACAATCAAGCAAGCAAGCTGAGCAAAAGATTTCAGAAGGAAAATATTAAAACAATTACTTTGGGTTTTGGTTGGAAACAGAGACTAACAAACACGAGGTTTTAAAAGAGCAGCCAGTTCCAGGTAGCAAATTCTGGTAAGAAAGAAGGACAAGAGAGACAAACGGACAAAGGATTCAAATGACCACAAGAAAGAAAGACCAGGAAGTGGGAGATCTTTACGGGGA